TTACTGAAGCTCCCTAAGACCTGAAAGACTGTCAACAGAGGCAGTTCGGTCTCTACCTTGTGCCTCCATTGCTGTGCAGTACTTTTCCAGTTTTCCCTGAGGGAGAACAGATCTGAATCCAAATCTTCACATCCCATGTGTGTCTATCACAGCGGTCCTGCTGCAGAAATGGAGGTACAATTTACTGTGGCTTGAAAAAATGATGCCTGTGGCATCTGAGGATTTGTTCAAAGCATCTAGCTTGCTGTAGATGGTGAGATGCATGCAAATGCAGTTAGTAGCTACTTTTGCGACTCGGTGCTCTGAATATCTAATTATTTTTCCTTTGCTTCTGCTGATCTGACGTCCCTGCTAATTTTGGGACCTTCAGTTTTGTTTTATGCTTCAGTAAGCCTCAAAGGATATGCTGACGCTAATGTAAATGACATATGAACTGTCCATCAGACAGTTCTGACTCTTCTGATTTGCTGCATAGCCAGTTTTTACACAGCAATAATACATGACATCTCTGGGCAAGGGCACCATGCACTGCAGGCTCTGGAAGATGAAAAGCTCTATTCCTTGCTTTGAGGAAGGAACACAACAGGGCCAACCCATTTAGCTTTCAAAATACAAGGCTAGATGTCTTAACTCAAAGAGGAGGCTAAAATCACCAATGTCTGAGTGGAGTGTACTGTCTCTGCAGCTGCAGAAAAGGTAGCTGGCTCTCAGCTACCTTCAGGAGGGTCGCAGAGTCTCCTTCTTTGGAGATATTAAAAACCCACCTGGATGTGTTCCTGTGTAACCTGCTCCAGGTGGCCCTCCTTTGGTAGGGGTGTTAGACTAGATGATCTCCAGAGGTTCCTTCCAACCCAAACCATTCTGTGATTCTGTGAAATGCTGACAGCATTTAAGACTTGTTTTGACCTGTTGTATCCTCTATCAGCTAATTCAAGTAACTGTTTACTCATCCCGTGGCTGGTGTTAATCCTGTTCATGAGAGCTCAGGTAGGTTCATATGCTAAAAATACAGACCTCTGCCATCTGGCCAAGTCCAGCCTTCCTAGCCTCCAAAGCTCCCTTTGGGGGAAGTCAGTATGATCTGTGGTGTTCAGGGGTGCTGTCCCAACAGCAGATATCTACAATAGCAGATGATTTGCATGTATTAAGTGCCTGGGTTTCCCTCACTAACTCGTTTGAGGAGCCTATGCTGGCTGGTTCTGTGGGAGGTTCTTTGCTGTAGTCATGCAGCCATTGTGCTGAGAGCCATGGGCCTCACACCTCCCTGGCACGTACAATCCTGCTATGGACAATGTGGCAATATTCAAGCTCCTTTGTACATCTTCAGCTTTTTGCGGAGTGATTGTGTCTGTTTAGGTGATGATGTCTCTTCAAAAGTCCTGTAGATCATCACATTTAAGATCTGTTGAGCAGGCTTAAGTGATGTTTGTCTTCAGATCCCACGGAGACACACAGTAGTTATCTGTGAAATACATGTTGTGATTACAAGTACAGTATGTTGCTGCAAATTTGTATTCATACAGATAAGACATCAGTGCTTCAAGTGGGTCTTGTAAGAAGACACTTGTGATTACACTAGAGAGCAGGTGCCAACTTAAAAAATAGCCAATTCTTAGGATTTTTGAAAACTACATGTACTGCACTTGCTTAGTGTGAAAGATAATGATGAGAGCAAAAATGAACATAGGCTGCTCCAGTTATGTAAGAATGGTTTTGAAGGATTATGTGCTACTTGATTAGTAGGCTGGGAAGAACTTGAGATAGTCACAGCAACTTTAAATATAGACTAGAGCCTTAAGTTTGAGTATGTGAGGCATGAAGAGGGAGATTTGGCACGGGCCATGTGAAAGCTGAGAACATCCAGATCTGTCAGAAAAAGAAGAAAAAATAAAAGTGCCAATGAGAAAAATATTCTGTGTGGTATCTGAACCTCTGGGTTAGCATTTCAAGTGGAACCATCATGTTCGTTTTCTTTCTCTCCTTTGTGCTTTCCTAATCAGAACTAAATCACTTGGTTAAATAAACCATCCTTTGAAAGATACGGACTTTAGTGTCTTTGGGCTCTTTGTTCATAAACAGCAGGAGTATGTGTTTTTGGAGTGGGGCAGAAGTTTCAGCTCCTGGCAACTGCATACTCTAATCTATGGTGTCTTGAGGTCAGAAGTTCAGGCACATTCCACAGCTCAGGCGTGATTGTTGGACCTCTGTTCAGTGCTAAGTCCTTTTTTTCCCAAGTCTTTGTATGTCCATGCAGGCATATACTGTAAAACTATATGGGAGTGTTCTGTTAGATGACTTCAAAAGTAAATGTAACATAATTTGGCTCTTCTAAAGTTGCTAGGAACTATCTCTGTAAATCAAAAAGTGATTTTTAACTAGTTGGTCTCAGTTCAAGAAAATGAGCTGCCTTTAAATTGCTGATAGGTTGGGGAAAGTTTCTTTCTATGCTATATGGAATATTTGAATTTGCTTTTTCATTTTTGCAATGCTAAAGGTATGTAGGATGTTGTGTAGAGAAGCTCAACTATGAACACGTTGCTTGGTGTAAAGCTATTCACAGTATGAGCCATCACAGCTACAGGAGCAGACCCTTGTGTTGAGGGGACACTGACAGTGGGAGCAAGAGGTAGTCATAAACCCAACCCTGTTTGTAGTCCCAGTCTAGCAGTTCCAATAGGCTGAATCCCAGAAGTATGAGGATATCCAGGTAAAGATCATGCTACATTCATTGTGTTTCTATATGCTTTCCCCAGATTTCCCTACCAGTCAGTATGCTGGGTTAGATGAATCTTTGTTCTGGTCCCCTAATGAATTCTTGTGAACCCTGTGTGCTCTTCCATGGCCTCCTGTATGATCTTCAGCACAAAAAAATGAAGGAGGCATCTGTTCATGTAGAAAAGAGTTAGGGTGTTTGCCATGTGTGCTGATTACTGTCATGTACAGCACTGTTTCCCTTCTTTGAAGAAGGGAAGTTTTCTAGCTGTCATGGACAAAGTCCAAGAAAGACGTAAGCTGGGACAGAGCAGGAAGGGGCTCCCCATCGGTGTGGAAGTGCAGGTACAGACCTGGGGACCAGAGCTGTGGGGTTCTCGTTAAAGAAACACATTTTTGAGTGTTCTGTTGGCAGAGAGTAAAATAAACCTCAAGATCGCTAAGATGCATAGACCCGGGAGAATATTTGGGCACTGATGTGCAACATTTGGTAATTAAGATCAATGGCACTCAGATGTTTCATGCTTTTCCTGGTGGATGTTAATGTGATTCAAGGTGAAGTAGATTAGCCGTTGCATGAGAAATCCTTAGATTCCTGCTTCAGAATATGCCAGCGAAGGGAACAGCCTAGGTCAGGTTCATGGCAGACATACACCTGTGTTCCCTCTGGCTGAGGGGGAGAATTTTGAATCTGGATTTCCCAAACCCCCTTTAAGTGTGGGACAGGTTTGCTCAAGTTTTCCTTGAGAAGACAGGCTTTGGTGGCACAGCCAGCAGAGTATGAATTACAGTAAGAGCCTGCAAACCTGCTTAGGCATCTGAATGAGGCATGGGTTAAGCCTTTGCTCTTTCACCAGTATATTTTAGCACAGGACTCCCACGCAGCATGTTGGCTTTTGTGAATGTGCTGCCTGATGCCCAGGAGGGCAGTGGCAAGGCAGACAAGCCAATGAAAGGGAAGATTTCTCTGGTTCTGGTCCCCCTCCTACCTCCAGGGATTGCACGGGGAGACTATTTAGGGAGATCATCCAGGCAGAACATCCCTTCCCTCCGCCCCCCTGGTTACCCACAGCTATTTGTTTTGTTGTGTTTTTCATCGGATTGGTTTCCAGCCTGCCTTCCTCACTGGGGACATCACACTGAGATGTGAGTGCTGGTGCAAAGGGAGAAACGTGGGAGCTGATGGAGGGGCACTGTCACAGTAAGCGAGGATACTCTGAGCTGTGGTACCTCCCAGCATGTCCGAATGTAAATGTACAAAAGGCATCAGAATCAGTAAACAATCTTCATGCTATGCACCATGTGGTGTTTGGCAGGAGAATAAGGCCAGCGTTGTGGATAACCTTACACACTTAAACCTGATCAGGATCCTCATGTTAATCTGGCAGCACGGCGTTGCAGGAGTGACCCCTCTGACTTCAGTGGAAATACTTGCATCAATCACCTGAAGCAAAGGCTCTGAGTGGGGGAAACCCACAGCAGCACAGGGCTGGCAGAGTCTGCTCCCAGTTCAGTCCAGCCTGCCCTGCCAGCACTCTCTTTCAGCTGTAGTGATTAAAAGGAAACAAAAAGCCATTTCTTTTTGTTCACATACATAGCAAATTCTAGCAGTGCTTTGGGCTAAGATAAGGCAATGTGGGGATTACAGCTATCTAGGCCACAGAGCAGTGAGCTTTCTGTGGAGAAATGCTTCAGGGTGTCAGAAACACTTCTCTGTATGCTCAGACAGATGGAGCATTAACATCAGCTTTGAAAACCGATGGGAGAAGAGCATGCAGGCAAGTCAGTGGCTCTTTAAAGCAATGGACTGTGCTTTTCAGACCTCCTAGTCCCAAACTTTTCTATCCAGCATATGATCCTGGATTTCAGTAGTCTATATTCGAATGCCAAGAATATTTTGCTCCTGTTCACTTTATTTTAAATGCATATAAACTCCAGAAGCTGTGGTATATAGGCATGTAGGATCAACAGCTGTGTTGTATTTATGAAGATAAATATATAGGCAGATCTCCATACCCCAGCAATGATCTTGATGCTCCTGAATTGTGCACACAGACCTCTGCAAGTGGCTCTTCCTTTTTCCCACACTGGGGAAGACACCAAGCAAAAAGAATTCTCTGTCAAGTCCCATTGACTCCCAAGTGCTGCCCACTGCTCTGCTCTAGGCACAGCACCACCTCAGAAGAGCTAAGAGAGGCGAATCAGCCCACAGAGCCCCTGCATGAGCAGCCCATACCGAATCCCGCAGCCCAGCTTAGCCCTTTTAAAATGTTTTGGGGGTGATGTCAGCACCTGGGTTGCCAATGCACTTGTTGGTCTCCTCCCTCAGCCTACTTCAGTTCCCACTCAGGGACTCGGCATCCAGACAGAGTGGGAGATAGGCAGAAGCCTGGAGGGGAGTAATACCTGCAGTCACCCAAAGTCCAGAGGCAGAACCACTGGACTCCATTTACCTCCTCAAGGTAAAGAAAGTTTGGCTTACTTATTAGGTCAGATTTTCTCTTGTCCAGGGACATACAAGGCTGGCAAAACAACTTGGGAATGTAGGAATCTGTTAACTGCATGCACTGGGCTTTTAATGTTTAATCTGCAGACTAAGGCATTTTGTATTCAAAGTGTCTGCCTTCATGCTGGTACAGTCCCAGGGATTCTCTTGTTTGCACTATAGGTGTCACAGCCTAATCTGGCTTCTCTGCTGAAATTTTGGTTTTGTGGCTGAAATTCTTTGTCTAGAGTTCAGTTTTTTGGAGGTTTCTATTATATTTGCATGTGATACAGGTGGGATTAGTGCATGACATTCATGATAAGGTGTTCTCATTTCTCTGCATGAACTCCAAAACCATACAAAATTCAAAACTTGCTGTGGTAAAGTAAATAAAACCAATAACCACTAGAAAGGTTTTTGAACACAACTTGAATGGGATTTCAGAAGTAAGAGACCTATAGCAGCTTGAAACTGCAGGAAAGTCAGAAGGTTCTTGAGAGAGTTCTGTTTAATTTGTAGGATTAACTTACTTACAAACTTTATGAAGTTCTTCAGAAATGGAAATACTTAACCTGGGCTTCTCCTGGTACTGCCAGGGGTAACATAAATTATTCAGATTCATCAGTCTTCATAATAGTTTGCACCCAGGTTTTTTTTTCATATAAGCATGCAAAGATATATAGGAATTTAAAGAGCTCTAAACAGTGCTGCAGGTACAACATGGATCTATTGAAAGTAATAAACGTGGCTTGGGCATAATTCATTTGAACATGCTTGCACAAAGCAGCACTAATTTCCACCCCTGCATGGTGTATTTGGGGTGACACTGAGGAATGCTGGGTATCAAAGAAGGTGATAAGCTGCCAGGTGTAGCTTTTCCTTTTACTGTCCCCTGTGCCTCCTAACTCCTTGCTGCTGAAACAACATTTATTTACAGCAACATAAATAGCTCTGCTGAACCTGCCACCTCCATGCGTCTGTTCTTCACATATTTTTCTTTTTCCCTTAAAAGAGCCTGTGACCAGAAGGTTGAGCTCCAGGACGCTCCTGGGCAATCCACTGAAGTTTTCCCTTTGCTCTGCCTGCTGACCTCTTCTCTCTCCTGAGTGTTCCCCCCAAATGGAGCGATCCACACAAGAAATTTTCCTCAACTTCATGATTGTCCTGATTACTGTATTGCTCATGTGGCTCCTCGTGAAGTCTTACCAGGAATAAAAGACAATCAGAAACTGTGGGAGGTGATTTAAGTGTGTGTCTGCGGAGATAAGTAGCACCTACAACACACCGCTGTGATTAGCTTTCAGTCAGTCAAGTATGTTGTGAACCTTTTTTACTCTCTTGTATCTGTTGCCTGTGCTAATGTTTGTGATGGGTCTGTGATGGTGTAAGTATTTTATTCTGCGGCGATCCACTGTAAAATGTAAAATGCAAGATCCTTAGAAGCTGTTTGACTTGGCTGTCTCCTCCAGTAGTTACTGTGAATGCTGTAGCCCCCTGCCCACCATGCCAGCTTGTTTGGTGTTGGTGTTAGGTACTCAAGGGTATAAAACTGCAGTACGAAATGTAACCATCTATATTAACCAGTATGAGAGGCACAAGTTCGCTTAGCAGAAGGGAATGTGAAACCTCTACTTTCATTTGCTCATTTCATTTCAATAAAGAACATGTAAACCCATTTTTTATAGCATTCCTCATCCTTCTCCCATCCTGACTGCTGTTCACTGCGAGACCTGCTGATAAACATGGTATAGGGTGATGTGCGAGTCTGGTGGTTTGCTTGTTCCTCCCACCTGCATTTTTATTTGTATCATTTAAAAATTGCTGTGGAGTGGAAATCCTGCAACTGAACACCTGGGTACTCACAAGAATGAGCTGTTCAGGTCACTTTTCTGTCCAGAGTGACTTATGCCGTTGATGCCTGTGGACACGGGCTTCAAATAGACCCTCTGTCCCAGGGAGGCATTGTCAATAATTGCATTTGCTGAAGCTGGATTTCAGGCAGGGATTCCCAGGACCCTATTTTTGGCCAGGCTATGCTTGGAGTAGTGCCTGGAGGGACAAGCCCAGGTCAGCTGGCGCCCCAGCCCTGCTGCGCGCCCTGCGCAGGGTAGCAGTCCCTCGGGGTCTGTTGCAGCATGCCAAGTGCCATGGCACAGCCACTCTCAGCTTCGGTAGAACAAGGCGTGAGTGTGGCAGGGTTGCTGTGATAGTGTTGTCGCCTGCTAAAAAATCTTGAGCCAGCCTGAAGAGCCCACAGCCCCTGTGTTTGTGAAATCCGCAGTGTAACTCCTCCTGGGCATTCCTCGGCTGTTATTTTAATGGATTCAGAGAATCAGCATCTTCTCAAAATGCAGCTTTCTGCAGGAAGGCAGTTAGATGTGTGCCATGCTGCTGATACAGGTCTCCTTCCCCTCCAGGGACCTGCAAGAAGCAGACAACGATGCAGGGCTGTGCTGAGGTACCTGAGGCCAGTCTCGATATGGTTAGGTGGAGAGATGCTGGCTGTGACAGCTGGCACTCATGCCTGAGCTTAGAGGAAAGACAGCAAATGTTGTAGTAGCACCACTTGCTAAGTGAGTGTGTTGCTTAAAGATTGCTAGTAAGTGATCCATTGCCCTGTATCATCAGCATGGGGTTTTGCAGTCACCCCTGCTGCAGCATGTGTGGTGCACAAGACATGAATGCAGCACAGTATCTGATCATGGAGAAGATTGCCAAGGTGACATAATGCTTACCCTGCTGCTTCTCCCATCCCGCATACTTTGCTAAAGGCACTCTGTGTAGAGTTCACAGGAACTGCCAACAAGTAAAACAGTAGTTGCTCATGACTTTCACCTGACCCCAACAAGGCATTTTTCACTCTAAGTATAGATAGATGAATTAGCCTCACCCAGAACCAGAAGTTCAGTGGTATCCTTTCTGTTTGTTTTCCTGGGCCATGGATCAGACTGTAGCCACCTAATTTTAGATGTTCTGATTTCAAAAGATTGGCTCCAGGCCAGGTAATTTGGAATTGCCAAGCACTCAGCACTTCACTCAACACAAACAGGATGTTCAATGTGCTTTTGGAAAAAACAGACCACTAGTTTGTGTGTGTGCATACCAACCTCGAAACCAAATTTTAGGCACCAAGATTTGAAGCTTTGACTGAACATTAGAAAATTATTCAGTGGGGGTTATCAAAATGCTTGTATCAAGCATCAGTGGTTGCAGTTGAAACCAGTATATAGATATTTGTTTTTTTCCAAGAAAAGGGGTTTTATCAAGGAAAACTAAAATGTATCAAAGACAAACACTATGCTTGAAGACCAACGGTGTCCATTTTGCTTCTGAATGATGTCTGGCTGTTGTAGACTGTATGGCGTGTGCCCCCTTTCTCCTTTCTTGCTGAGGCGCCAGGTCTGGCAGGTTCTCTATCTTGCGTGATGTAACCAAGCATTCCTATGATGTGTTACCTCCAAGTCACAAGGTAGGAAACTGCTGTGCAGTGAGAGAAAGATGAGAATGGGGAAGTGTGGTTGAGACTGAGGAACTGCATGTGCTGAATTTCTAAGTGGGTTGATTGCAAACTATTTCCTGCTGACAGTTTTCATTTTGCAAAGTTTCACTCAAGATTCAGTTTCATGGGGAAAAAATTGCACACTGTGTAAACTGTGTGTGCGTGTGTTGTTTGTGTGTGCTCAGTAGATGACAGAAACAGAAGGAAAGGCAAAAAGTGTGGTTTTCACCCTTATCAAGACAGCATTCCTGTGTTTGCATTGAAGTTTTCCCTGCATCAAACCAAGAAAATGCGGAGCACAAATAATTTCCTCGCTACACAGCAAGTCCAGTGTGGTTCTATTTTTACAACCGTGTTTGGAAGTGTCCCAAAGGCAATAGATGCCCTTGCAATTCAAGAAGAACTTTGCACAATACTCATCTATATTTTGCTGGTGCAGTGAGCTACAAGGGATCAAGAAGACTGACATCTGCTGACGGGGTTGCCATTGCCGGGGCTCCTAAATCATTCTTCACCTACACAGCTGAGCTGGTTTGCCCCCTGTGCATGGGGTTTACCCACAGATTAGTGTCTCTGGTCTGAGCTGGAAAAGAGTCTGGCGCGTTTCCCAGGGCTGTATACAGCTGGTGCTCCAGCCAACCAACTCTGACCTCTTAGCTTAACAGTTCAGCTGTCAGCTTCTAAAGAGAGATGACAGCATTTTCGAGCAAGCTCCATTATGCTTATCATCTAATGCTAATCTCTGCTCACACTGAGCTGATCTGTGAGGAAGTGTAAAGAAGCATAAATTCATGCAAAATGAACAGAGATGGTCAGTTTGTGCTGGTGTGTATGCTGTACTGCACTTGTACTTGCTAGTTCTTCGCTGCAGTAGGTGGATGATGGAGATGAGTAATAATTTGGTTTTGGCAGCAGTTGTTAGCTAAATGTAAGTCTATGATTCCTTATACTACAGCTTGCATAGCAGGATCCGGAAGGGCATTTATATGGTGCATGGATGTGCCTTGATCCATTGGCTTTGCATATATGCCTCTTTGTGTACCCAGAAGAGCAGCCAGAGCTGTTTCTCTTCTGAATGGCTGTTTTCTTCTTGCTTCATCTCTTACGTTTCTTTTAGGAGGCAGGCAGTGGCCTTTCCTCTTGACTACATGGCCAGGGCAGGATGCCGTCTACAGCAACAGAGTCGTGCCCTGTTCGTGTCTGCTCTGCACTGCTGTTCCTGCCCATGTATATGAAAGCTTGGAATGACTGTGGTGACCTGAAGATCAAATTGATAGGGTCAGGGTATTCACAGTGACTCGGGTATCTAACAGTTTCTTAGGAAGGACTTAATCACTTGTAGAGATACACCTTTCTACATGCACTTCGCATAACTTTGGTCTTGCACATTACTGTGACAGCCTGGCCTAGATGCATTCTCCAAAAGCTCTAGTGTGAGTGACCCAATTCCTAGCCAAAATTATGGAAAACTGAGCAATAAATAATCTAGAATGGATGTTTCATGTACCTCTTTTCCCTGCAGTATTCAACCATTTTCATGTTCAGTTTCTTGTCCATAGACATCTGTTGGCATATCTGAAAGCAGGAGCATGATTTTTTCGCAACCAGGTTAGGAAGGACCTGTGAAAGTGGTGAGACACTGGCAGAGGTTGCCCAGAGAAGCTGTGGATGATCCACTCTTGGCAGTGTTCAATGCCAGGTTGGATGGGGCTTTTGATCTGGTCTCCTGGAAGGTGTCCCTGCTCATGGGAGGGGATTGGAACTAGAAGATCTTTAAGGTCCTTGCAACTACTCTGTAATTCTGTGATCTGCTGCTGCATGCTGCAAGCCATTTCCCCAGTGGACTTGGGCCTGGTTGCATCAGGCAGTAATCAGCCCTTTTGTGTTCCCCTGGTTCTGATCTAATCCCTACAAAAGTCTGTTTCAGCATCACATGGAAAAGGTATGCCACAAGTAGCTTTAGATCTTTCACTTAAACCCACTTTTGAACAGAAGAATTTCACTATAAGAAATCTTACATCCTGTATTAAGCTCTATTAACTAATACTTATGAACATAGGATTTGAAACACTAAGTCCCACACATTAAATCCATACCTGTGAATATATGTTAAATCCAAATGTTACTAATTACAAACAAATTTGGGTGGACTGGAACATCTGATTGTTAATCAGCCCACCTCACAAGTGTGTCAAGGTCCCTCTGGATGGCATTCCTTCCCTCCAGCGTATCAACCGAACCACACAGCTTGGTGTCATCGGCAAACTTGCTGAGGGCGCACTCAATCCCACTGTCCATGTCAGCGACAAAGATGTTGAACAAGACCGGTCCCAACACCAATCCCTGAGGGACACCACTCGTTACTGGTCTCCAGCCGGACATTGAGCCATTGACCACAACTCTTTGCATGCAGCCATCCACCCAGTTCTTTATCCACGGAGTGGTCCATTCATCAAATTGATGTCTCTCCAATTTAGAGACAAGGATGTCGTGTGGGACAGTGTTGAATGCTTTACACAAATCCAGGTAGATGACATCAACTGCTTTACCGCTGTCCATCAGTTCTGTAGCCCCATCATAAAAGGCCACCAAATTGGTTAGGCAGGATTTCCCCTTAGTGAAGCCATGCTGGCTGTCACCAAGCACCTTGTTGTTTTTCATGTGCCTTAGCATGCCTTCCAGGAGAATCTGCTCCAAGATTTTGCCAGGCACAGAGGTGAGACTGACTGGTCTGTAATTCCCCGGGTCATCCATTTTCCCCTTCTTGAAAATGGGGGTTATATTTCCCTTTTTCCAGTCATTGGGAACATCACCTGACTGCCATGATTTTTCAAACATGATGGCCAGCGGCTTAGCAACTTCATTCGCCAGCTCCTTCAGGACCCGCGGATGGATTTCATCAGGACCCATGGACTTGTGCACGTTCAGGTTTTCAAGATGGTCTCGAACCAATTCCTCTCCTACAGTGGGCCCAAGGTCTTCATTCTCACAGTCCCTGCGTCTGCCTTCCAAGACTTGGGTGGTGCGGTCAGAGCCTTTGCTAGAGAAGACCGAGGCAAAGAAGTCATTCAGAACCTCAGCCTTCTCCAAATCCTGTGTAGCTAGTTCACCTGAGAGCTTCCTGAGGGGGCCTACGTTCTCCCTAATCTGTTTTTTATTTGCTATGTACCTGTAGA